AGAGAGAGAGAGAGAGAGAGAGAGAGAGAGAGAGAGAGAGAGAGAGAGAGAGATGAGGAGCAACACGAAGACATGGGAAAAGCAGCTAGAACTTACAGCACAAAAGGCCAATCCGCCACCGCCTGTGCTTTCGATATCTGCGATCAGGCTGAGCCATTTTCACAGGGCTGCTATTCCACTCGGAATGCAATCTGCAAAATATAAATTTTGAATGATTTTAGGTTTCAGTTTATGAAAGAAGGGACTGATCTAGTAAGATTATAGTCCACAGTCTTTTGTTGCTGTTTGGTGGTGCTGATCACATTATTCTTTTGATAGGGTTATCATTTTCCTAAAATAAAAAACACTTCAAAGCATGCTTGCTATCACATACTAAGAAGTCTCGAGCACCCAAAATAAATGAAGAATCAGAAAAACTTTAAAGCATGCTTATTGCGATTGGAAGGTAAGGGTGTGTAAATGGAACAACAAAAGAAACCAGTGCTCACTTACATGGGAAAAGCAAATGAACGAGTGCTAGTCGTGCTACTATCTGATCTTAGAGAGATGCTTCCTGAATATGGGATCGGTCCTGAGTATGGTATTTGACCTGACACAGAACCAGTCAGATCAGTTGGATCATTATACCAGCTCTTTCTATCAGAAATACTCAGACCATGAGAATGATGCACAAGACTTTGGGTTGTTGTCCCTTCCCCTCCTACAAGATTTCTCTCGCTTGAAGCCTCTGTCACCTGATGTTCATCTCCACCACCTTTGTACCCGTTTTTCTCAACAATCATTTGTCCCTCTTGAGATTCAAAATCCAAGGTGGTGCTTCCATTCTCAACTTTACTGTTCGAGGTTGGCAATGCTTCTGTATCACTACTTTTAACTTTAATTTGGTCAGAAGCACATTGCACAGTTGGGACTTCAGCTTTACTACCAACCTGTGATATTGCGCTTAAATGAATGAGTGAAGGCACGTAGCAAGAAAGTCCTTTTTTAAAATTTATTTTGAAATTTTTGAACATATCTTTTACAATAATTAAGAACATACATGAAAAATTTATATAGAATCTATATAAGCATATAAGCGAAGATATCTTCTTTAACTTTTTAACTTATTTTTACAGAGAACTTGTGTTTCACATGCAAGCATAACCTTATTTCCACAAAAGAAAATGAAGGCAATGATCATACTGTTACCTCATTAGTTGCTTGTTGCTTAACAATGTCATTAGACTCAGAAGAAGTGGGGCCTACTCTCTCCTCCATGTCCAAATCCTGCATTGAAACCGGTTTCATGGAGGTAGAATTTTCTTCACAACTCTTGTTTCCTCTCTTTTCAAATGAACCAGATTCACTTTTCTGTTCTTGTAACAAATCACCCAAGGTGAATATCTTTGCGCTATCATTATCTTCACCATTTAAATCCTCCAGTAAAATTGAGGATTGGAGATCCTCCTTGGCCTCTGATATCGACGAAGCACAAGCATCAACTTCTGAAACTCCTGTGCCTGCATTTCTAGTTAAATCATCGTCTCCATTAACATCAGAATGTAGAGATCCACAAATCTTTTCACAACATGAATCATTATCTGACAAAGGTAGCTTGTTTTGAGTGGGTAAACCTTCATCAATGCAGATATCTTTCACAACATTATCAGAATTCTCTTTCAAACAATCCATGGCCCTTTCTGTAACCTCTGTAACATTCTTATCAGTGTAGAGCTCAGAATCTGTAACAGAGCATTCAACATCGAGACTTGAGAAAGAACCTCGAACAAACTTATCTTCTTCTCTTGTTTCACAATCAATGGATGGATTTTCCATTTCAATGACATCCACAACACTTTCATGTCTGCTTAACTCTTCTGCAAGTTCTGGATCGCTATTCTTGTAATCTTCACTGGTTATAGTGGATGGAATTAGAGTTTCCCTCTCTTCCTTAAGCTTTTCATGGGATCCTAGGCTAGAGGTCTCACTGACACAAATAGGTCCTTCCTTCACAACTTTGCTATCAGCACGTGTTATGTCCATAGCCATAAGCTGGCTATCGGCTTCTGGTATATCCATAGGCATAAAGCAAAGTTCTACTGCTTCTTTCTTTACCTCCTCATCAACAGCTACAATATCATCACCAATGAAGCAAAGTTTTTTTCCCTTTTGAAAACCATTCTCAGATCCAACCATCTGTGTTTGCACACCCTTCTCATCCTGCTCAAGTACTTTAGCAATATTCTTATCGGCAGGAGAAGAATAGCAAGAATCGGTTTCACTACCTGCATGCAGCAAGAATGCTAATCAAAATGATTTGATTTGAATAACCTAATATAATTTATTCGTCACTGAGCATTTGAAAATAAAGATCATATCTAAATGGGTAATCTAGAACTTGATATTATTATTATTATTATTATTATTATTATTATTATTATTATTATTTTGAGAATGAGTACTTGATATTATTATTGACAGAAACATGGTTGCAGGTATGGATAGATGCCACATAAGAAATGTCTATTGCCCATTTGGATATGAATAATGCAAATGAGAAAAAAAAGATTGGAAACAAATTGAAAGTGTTGAATCCTAGTAAGCATCGAGTTCTTGCTGAAGGGGGATGTGAAACCCTTAAATTAACGAGTCGTGTAAAGAATTAAAGGACAAAAGACATTATTGCTGAAAGGGGGATGTGAAACCCTTACATTAACAAGTCATGTAAAGAATTAAAGGACAAAAGACATCCCTTGTGGTACAGGTCTAGGATAAAAAATTAAAAACAACAAACACACCCACTTATGTACACATCCTCAAAACCAACCCCAGAGGGGCAAACTTGACCATGAATATTTGTTGAGTAGACAGAGCTTACAGCAATGTCATATAAGGTACCACAAATATATTCATCTCAAATTAAGTAGTACTGCCCAACCAGAGTCTCCTGAAGAAGGGAATCCAGGAGAAAAGAAATTTTCCATTTCACGTGAGATCTACTCAAATCTCTCAAATGATGTTTCAATGGCTTACGCAAAAAGAACCAAAACAACTTCAAATGTGGACAAACAATATTCTCAATTATGTCCTTGTTAACCCGAGTTAAATAAACAAATTGTAGTATTTATGCTATAATTCAGTCTATCATGCACTTCAACAACCTCCAAATGAAATCAAGGAAAAAGTATGTCAATTCATGAGGAGTAAGATATATGCAGAGACAAGTATACCAATTATTTGTCCTCCAATCCGTGAAGTTATCTGTTTGATTGTAGTCCTCTTAGGGAGGATGGTTAGGATGTGAACTAAATATCAATTCTTTTATTATATTTTTTATGTTGAACTAAATATCAATTCTTAGAGAAGAGTTTCAAACTAGATGAATTTTTAACTCTTAACATATCACGTAACCCAACATTCATCTTCAGCACATGACCCATTGATTGTAGTCTCAGTCACAAACCCAATAAAATGCGCATCATCATATTGTGCTATGTATAAACATGAATTTCAGTGGCTTATAATACCCAGGTTTTGGATTCCTGCATACGTTCAAGGGGAGTTGTGGGAATTTGGGAATATCGAGCACATTGAAGTAGAGAACAAGAAATATGGGATTCTTGGAATTAAAGTGTTTCATCCTGATAAATAAAAAAATAGTGTTTTCTGTGCATCTCTGTTCTGAGTAGCAAAGAGGTCTCTAATTTTGTATAATTGTTTGTTTTCCTCGTGACTGGTCGACAACCTCACAACCGTTTACCCAAGTAAAAAACTTCAGAAATTTTTTTCAGAGCTACAATTTTGTGAAAGTTTCAGAAACCCAATAGTTCTCATAGCAACCTATAAAAGGGTTGGAAGATAATAAAGAAGAAACCATAAGATATCTGCTCTGGAATTGTCATTTAACCAAGTTTTAATGCATGGGATAACTGTTTCAGAACCATTTACTTGATTTCATAAGATATACCATTCCTATGTACAAATTCAAATTTCCGATTCAAAATGCCAATGGTGTCTGCATTAGTATTCATATCTTCTGTTTGCTACCCATTCAAAATCTTTGGGAGAACTTCTAATTTATCAGTGATTTTTCAGAGACTTTGGATGGTAAGATATCATATGGTATATACTCATGCAGCATAAAACAAAGATAAATCTGATCCCCTCTGCCATCCATATATAAATGTGAAATCAAGTTACAATACATTTTGAAGATTTAAATTCCACATATTCTTTAAACTGTGAACTCTATAACTAAAGGAGGTTAGAGCAAAAAATCCTACGGTCAAAAGGCTTACCAAATTTCATTGTTTTACAAGTTCACATTAATGGTGCTTGGATGAACAAATGCGGGTGGCAAACTCATTGACATATTAGTACCCGTTATGCATCAGCAAGTCAATCATTCTCCTGTAAGACAGAATCAACTCATGTGATTCCCAATTACACATATATATCTATATCTCTGGCTACACATGCAATAAACATGATCCAAAGTTTGGAATGGTCAAAAAAGATGACAAATCTAAGTGCAGTTTAGCCAAATTATAACCAGATGAAAAATTTAGTAATTTTTGAGGTTAAGAGTAGTCAAAATCATATAATACCAGAAAAGTAGAGTCGATCTGGAGAAGAAGAAAATAAGCAAAGATGTAAACTCGCTTACTCAAATACTCTTGCTATGGTACAAAGAAGCAACCAAATAATTAGAGCAAATTTGGCAAACAATAATCTGAATAGAACTGTTGACTCTTTACCAGTAGCCTATTCTTTCCACTCTTTCATGGAAAAAGAAATGTTAAATCACATTCATAGTCAATGATATCATGATACAAATTTCTTTCAACATCAATCATAACAAACTAACACACTGACAATACCTCACATGTACAAAAAGAAAAGAAGTAAGAACAAAGAATAAAGTAGAAATAAAGTATTCGGCACAAATGCATTAAAAAAAGCCAGAGATACTAATAAAAACAACCTAATTGGGCACAAAGAATTTGAATAAAATCCATTGGCCAATACTCCATCCATAGCTACAGAATGCAGCAGGTAGATAAAAAATGACCATTTGTGAGCACTCCTTGTAACATTTGTTTGCAGGCATCATGCCATTTATGCTACATTAATTTTGCGTGATTATCAAAAAGGAAAAAAAAACTAGTGTAACAGATTAGAGAAAGTTAAGGAATCAAATTAGATCCAAAGGAATCGCCCATGAGATACTAATCTAATGAAACGAAACATAGACAAAAAGGGCATGATAATAAGCAAACCCTTGATAATGAGGGCATGATAATAAGATCCACCATTTTAGTGATTCTAATCCCCTTTTTAATTTAACAAAAGGGGGTTTGATTTGAGGAAATCCACCAACCCACAACCAGTACAATGATTCTAATCCCTTGATTATTTTAATCTATTCTCGCACCACATTTTGAAATTTGACATTACACAATGGAAATTTGGGTTTGCCTGTACTTTATCTGAAATTAATTTTCAAAGAAGACATAAAGACAGGAAACAGATTCCACCTCATAAATGATAAAGCAACAGACAAAATAGTTTAAAATGTTACAAAATAAAATATATATACAATGTTAGAAAAGAAAGAAATATACTATCCCCAATTTCTTCTCGTTTATTACTAGATAAATTCTTACTCAAATACCAATTCATTAGCACTTGGTCACTTACCCTCTTTCATCGACTGAGATATATGGACCCTCCTAATTCAGAGCTTCAAAAGCTACATCGTACTTGTATCCGCTTATTGCCTCTGCAAATACAATGATTGAAAAAAATTAGAAAGAAGAAGGGAAGTAGGTGGAGATACAAAGCGAAAAACATAAAAACCCCACAATTTATCAGATTTTAGCATAAAATCGGACAGAGAAGAACCCAACAAAGAAAAACTCTTAACAATAAAAAGGGGGAAAGTAAAGAGATGAAACGAGTGGACCCAAAAAACCAATTAGAGAGAAACAAAAACACCATATTTCTTGCATTTGAAGTCCTAAGAGCCCCATGATTACCAACAATAACAACAACCTCAACCCTTTTCTCCGTTCTTCCCATTAGAACGAAACATTCTGGCTTTGAATTTATGAACCAGAAGAGAACCAGCAGATCAAAGATCAGTCAGATCTAGATACAACCCCAAATACACCTTGCATTTCCACCCAAAAAAAAAAAGAAAAAAACCACTAAATCAATAAAAAACCTGCAAGCTAAGCAATAGAAGAAGAAACAGCAGCAGAGAAAGATAACCCACCATTATTATTTTTTAAAATAAAATAAAAAAGTCAAATAGGGAGTTTTAGATAACTCCTTCAATTAAATAATGGGGTAAAACCCATAAAAGCGCATGTATATATTTTTAGTAACCGACTCGTACAGCAAAGAGTAGCAGAAATTGCATTAAAGATCGTGACAGGGAAATAAATATCGGCCGCATTTATTACCAAAAATAACTAAATTATTTAATAAACAGGTCGAATAAATTAATGGCTCCGCCACCAAATGTGAGACCCCAAGCCCCGCCGTTAGTGGTTCCGTTCAAGTTAACGGCCACTGGTGTGGATGAGTAACGGCGTCTCAATTTTCCGTTTAAGCCGCTTCTTACCCTATATTCAGAGGGAAATTTTTTTTACTACGAAAGAATTATTTTGAAAGAAGAATTGATTAAGTAGTTAATTTAAAAGGAAAATCTCCATAAAATTTTAAAATCATTTCCGATTTTTAAGGGATTTAATTACTGCGGGTTGCAAATCAATTTTTACCGTTAATCAGAGACGTTAAAAGTTAAAAACTTAAAAGCTTTAAATTCCAAGATAATCGGATGAATTTTTTGAAATCTATTTTTTTTCTTTTTAGTTTTTCAAATTTAGCAGTTTCTGACAGAGAAAATATGTCTTATAGTTTAAAGATCCCCAACATAAGTTCATAGATATACAAGAAACATTTGACGCTCTAAATGCCCTAAAAACGTAGTAAACGGTTAAATTATTTCAAACCTTATTAAAATTATTCAGTAAAATGAGTTCTTCAGAGTAACGATTAAGCCATAAGTGCATAGAACACAGCGCAGTAGAGTGTCAAAATTTCGATTTTCTTTTCAAAAGTTGGCTGTCCTTTTGGGGAAAAGGCGTTTTGGCTTCTGAACAAATCTCGCTTTTGCAGAGAATTGTTCCTTTCTGGGTTGCTCACTTTTACAGAGAAATTGAGGCCTGAAATCAACAATTCAACAAAAATTCAATTTAATCGGGAGTCCTCAAACTATTTAAGAACTTAATTCTTCAGCGTGCTCCATAGCAGAAAAAACAGCTCTATTATCTGAAGACTTCAAAATGGTCAGGAAATAAAATGAATCTCAATGATCACGAAAATCTCAGAAGATGCTTTAGGAACATCTATTTAATCTACTGGTTAAATTTCAACATTAAATATGTAAGAAACAGTAATTTGAGCCTTAACCTACTGAAAATTAGATGAAAAATTCAAGTTCATCAAAATTAAACAGCTCTACAGCTCTTACTCTCAGTTTCAGAAATCAGACCAATGAAAACCAGAATTAAATCAACTTTTTGAATATTGACCGTTCCAAAATATAATCCTTAAGCTATTGACGCATCGAATCTCCCGATACTCGTATTCAACCTTCAAAAACGCAAATTAATAACCAAATAAAACAAAAATAAAATAAAAAAATAAACTTCAATAGTAGAATTCTTCAACCTTCACATTTGAGCACGATTCTGGTGAATAAGCTCGTAATCTTGAGATCCTTCCGATTAATGCCGCTTAGAAATTCATTGTGGTGAAAATGTTTGCTATTTGGACAAAATTAAGCTCTAAAACATCAATAAACTGTTAAAAGGGGTCATAATCGAGATTTACCAGAGCATAAATTAGGTGACACAGAGCCTTTTCCCTGCTATAACTGTGAGCGCACTTCATGTGCGGCTTTCAGTTACTGCTGCTTGATTTCCGGCTGAATGACGCCGCAAAACTATTTTTCGGGCGAAATAGTCGCCGGGAAAACGGAATTACGGCCGATCGTCTCGGAACAAGGAGCCTTTTCGTGAGGATCAGAGAAAAGATATGAAAACTAGGAATCTTCAGCACCTTTTGTACTTTAAAAAAAAAAGATAAATTACTATTACTAAAATACTCCTTTGATTCCCCAAAATAACTAAAATGCCATCGTAAACCACGACACGAGAAACAAACTTGCCTTCATGACCCTTAATATAGGTGCGTGGGCTTTTCGGGCCTGCTTCGTTGCACATGTTGGGTGGCAATAGGCTTGATGGGTCCACCGGAACCGGGTCTAGGTATTGGGCCAAAAGGGTTGGATCCCAGTTTGGGTGCAGCTTGGACCCTCTTGGGTTGGATCTGGGTCGAGGTCTACCCAAACCGGTATATACAAATATAAAATATCTCTTAGGAAATATAACAAATGAAAATTTTATCTTGTTACTTCTAGACCCGAACACGACCTGGTCAGAGATGGGTCCAAGTGGGCTATGTCGAATTTAGGTCCATGCTATACCTAGTCAGTCAGGTTGGGATCAAATTAGACCCAACCTGACCTATTGCCTCCCCTAGAGGCTAGGCCTAAGCTGGCCTAGTTGGTCCGAACTGTTTTCGGCCAAGCTAGGCATAGCATTTAGCTTGGGTCTAACCCAAAATTTTCATACGCGCATTTTAAATATTTTTTCATATTTATTTAGGTAATGCCCCGATCTTTCGTATCTTAGTTTGGGTCAAGTTTTTTTTATCATTAGTTCGCCCAGCCCAAAAAGTAAATTTTTGGATCGACGCCTCCCCTACCCACATTGAATTGGGGCAGTAAATTTTTGGATCGAGGCCTCCCCTACCCACATTGAATTGGGGCTGGGCTCTTAGCCCGGTAACAACTATGTGGGTTGTGACTCGGTTCAGGTCATGAAAATATGTTGTCATTTTTGCAAAATTCAGCCCATATTTTCTAGATTGCTTTACCCATATAGGTTATTGAATTTTATTTTATTCGATGTTATAAAAGTGAATAAAATTTTATAAAAGAAGTTCGTTTGGCTCCTTTTGCACTGTGGGTCATACATGTTAAGAGATTGTGTGCTTGACAAAATGATTATACTAATTTAACCACAGATTAGCATATACCTTAAGTTAAAAAGTAAATTCACATTTTCAAAACTCTTCCAGGTTACTTAAAAAAAAAAAACTCTACCAAGTCCAAAAATCCTAGAAATGGTTGGCAAATTCGGAGTTCTAAAAATAATGTACATGTGGGTATGAATCAGAATTCAAAAAACCGGAGCGGCCATAGAAATCTGTCAAGGGCCAAGTCCAAGTAACCGGTAAACCGAGTTCAACTCTCGCCTAATTGGGCGGGTCCCATTCAGATTCAAATCTGTTAAAAAATACATTTTTAAAAAAATATATATATGATTACTATATTTAAAGCATGATTAAATAAAGCATATCCAAATGAAGTTGAAAAGTAGTGAAAAAATAGATTTATGCTCTAGGATATTTTCAAATTTTTCAAAAAAAATGGCAAAATATAAAAAAAAAGTATTCATGTCCAAAACACTTTTCTAATATTTGCTAAAATGATAAAAAAAAAACATTAAAAAACAAATTACAAACAAATCCCTTATTTTTTGGATTTTTATATATTTTAAATATTTTAAAAATATCCGACTAGACCCACCAAAATCGGATCGACTAATGCCTGATTCCGATTTGACCGGCCGATTCCAAGTTGTACAGGCCGAGTTTGCAAATATTGGTATGAACACTTGAAGATGGATGCTCCTGAAAATATGTTACAAGAGGTATTATTTACTTTTTTAGATCGATAATTGTCGAGGTCAAGATGATCAATTTGAGTCAAATTCGACTCCAAAACTGTGTTGTCCGGGATGTTTTGGAGTACTTTTTTTACTTTTAATATAAAACCTAAGCAATTAGAATAATAAAAAATTAAAAAATAAGACCTTTTTGAAAAACAAAAGAATATTTAAGAAAATACAATTTTCTCTTCAAGATTTTGGCAACAGTGCGTGTGTTCCACATAACAATGTTTCAAATTTAGTCAAATTTCTTCGAGGAAACACATTATTTCTTAGGCCCTTTTTCTAGATAATTCCGGTGGTCCTTGTTCATGAAGAAAGTGTCACTTTCGTACACACGAGAGAGGGAGGGAAAGGACATGGGATTTTAGCTCTACTTTGTTGATGAAGAAGATAGTATGAGTGGATCACAAGTTTAGAGAGAGAGAGAGAGAGAGAGAGAGAGGGGAAGTTTCAGGTGCAAGTATAAGGACGAGGAACGTGTCTCATTTGTAGTGAGACAAGACATGATAATCTGGAACGTGTCTCATTTGTAGTGAGAGAAGACATGATAATCTGGAACGTGTCTCATTTGTAGTGAGAGAAGACATGATAATCTGAGTACAAGACAAGCCATTTTCCACAAAATTTCTATAGAGAGATTTTTTTCTTTCCAGTATGAGGAAGTAGAGGAGGCAACGGGCGGGCCGGGCTGCGACCCGAATTTAATGTGGGACCTGGATCCGACCTTGACTTGTCCGGACATGCTTGGACCCAACTCAAATATTAAAATACTTATTTATTTAAATATATTTTAAAATTCTTTTATAAATTGGGAAATGTCGGATTTAGACTTGAACTTTGACCCGAACCTTAATCTGGATCCAAATAGTGTTTGGATCCAAGATTTAAACCCGAACCCAACTTGTTAGATCCAATTTTTGAACCTAGATCCAGACCCCCGAGTCGGGTCTACCTCTCGGGTCCGAGGTCGAATCCGGTCCCATTGCCATCCCTAGAGTGATAGGAAGAGGACCCATTCGTTGCAAAATAAGAGGCGGTTGCAGGGTTTGTAGTTACATGGTGTGTAAACATGTTTAAGAGGGGTTTTGACACTGCCAAAAGACAACGAAACGAGGCGCACGCCTGGGTTTACCAAAGAAATAAATGTGCCTCCAAGAAAGAAGACTTTTTTAAATAAGTTAGGAAAATATTGGCGTGGACTATGGTGTCCTATGTATGAGAGAGCGAGAGGAGAATCGTCAATGTTGCATGTTTAGAAGAGGAACAAAAACAAGCAGAAAAAGACGGGTCGTATTCGAGGTGTTTGGTATTTAAGAGAGAGGGACGCGTAGTTATAGAGAGAGAACTAGCATATGACAAGAAATGAGGGGAACTCATTTGGTTGCTAGTTTTGGAAACAACTACTCGGGCCGACTATGGTGTCCATACCCGACCCGAGCACTCAGACCGTGCCCGACTTGAGAACGCAGACCGAGTGGTCAGGAGTACTAAAGCAACAAAAAAAATAGTTCCAACAATTGTAAAAAAATACAAAAAAAAAGGAAATTTATGTTTAAATTAAGATTAATCAATGAGGTTAAAAATTTATTAAAAAAATAGATTTAAAACAACCAACTTGTGACATGGTATTTTTTAAGTAATCTAAAAAATATGAAAAATATAAAAATAAGTACTTATGGCTAAAACACTTTCAAATATTTGCCAAAATGGTAGAAAACATAGAAAATACATCTCAAATTAATTCTTTATTTTTTTAGATTTTTTTGAATTATTTTTAATTTATTTAATATCCCCGACTTGGACACCCAACTTGGCTCGGTAAGGGACCGAACCCCAGTAACTCGGCGGCTAGTCAGCTGGCTTGGGTTGGGTTGGAGTGGTGTAAGAAACCTAAAAAATTATAGACTGAGCGGGTCACACTTGCTTAGAGAGAGAGAGTCGCGCTTTGGTTAGAGAGAGAGAGAGCCAATTTAGGGTTGAAGTAGGGTAAGAAATCAAGAAAAATATGGAAAGACCGGGTCACTTGGAGATATAGAATCGCGCTTTGGTTAGAGAGAGAGAGTCATAAGCAAAGCCGTTTCGAGATTAAGGCTGCCCTAAAAAACTAAGAGCGCATCATAAGATGAAACGTGAGTACTTTCTCAGGGGAATGGCCCGATGGGCCGTCCAGTTTATCCCTTTTTGTTCTTTGGTCCATTAGGCTAGGGCTTTTTTGGCCCAGTCTTGGTCTTGGGTGGCTTGAGTTGACCGCTCAGGGATCGGGACCATCGTAGGGCCAAAGCTGGCCCGGCCCGTTGCCAATTCCGTTTGAGAGAATAGCACCATTGATTCATCCGGAAACGTCATGGCAAGAAACCTTATCATTCTGAAGTATGCATGTACGATGTGAAGGTATAGTGAGAGACATGCATGCAAAGTGTGCGTTTCTAGAGGGAAACGAAATATTAAGTATTTTTGGCTTTTTCTTTTTATGGGCATATTTCATTTTTTAGCGAGAGATCGAAGAGGATGTTGCTTTAAAAATAAGAGCTAGCAGAAGAAGTAGAGATGTATTTTTGTAATTATTTTATAATCATCACATAACAATGAAATTGATGGAGAAGTTCCTATGACAATTGTAATACGAGCTGTATTTTATTGGAAAAAATTCGAAGTGTTCAAGAAACAACATATCCTGTACAACTGAGATAAAGATGTTGAGTTGAATGAGTCAGAAAACAAAGAATAATAGAAAGGAAAAGTTTCTATGCTTCCCTTGCAGCATACAAGTTCTATCCTCCCCTGCCATCCAGCTGTTCAATTTTGATCAAGAGAGTCACTTACCATTTGATCTTAGATATGACGTTTCAAAGTATTTTATTTTTAGTTTTTTTTTGTATAAATTATATGAATATGAAATTTGATATGTTCCATCTTCTCATTGGGGCGCACCTATAAAAAATATTAAAAGTAATCGATAAAATATAATGATCAAAATACCCCTTGAAGCTTTTAAAGGTATTTTGGTTATTTTATTTTTTTATATTTTTTTACTAGTGCAAGTTTAATATAGGAATGGACGTCCAAAATTTGGTGTCAAAATAGTTTATAAATAAAAAATACAAATAAAATAGTGTAAAGACATGATATTGTAATTGGCGCAATCTTAACCCTCCATTCAGAATGGATGGTTGGATAAGGGAGAGGATAGAACTTCTAAAGGAAGCATATAAACCTTTCCCGGAATAGAATTCATAATAA